CAGAGGCTGTTGTGTCCCTGTCTGGTGTCTCTGAAGCCCTGGAAATCAAAAGAGCAGGCCCTGACATCAGAATCCTTTTGCATCTCTATCATTGGAAATGCCTGGATCCAGTCCAGGGAGAGAGCGGTGGATATTAAAAAGCAAGGTTTCTTTGTGGAGAGAACACACATGATTCAGCACAGGGGCAGATCAGGACTGTGGATGCCTGGTTCTCCCAGCAGGCCCTGCCCCCCTCCTGCCACCTCAGCAGAGGCCCCAGACTGCACCTGCCGGATGGAATCCCGCAGTGCCACTGAGACTGGGCACCATGCCACTCCTCTCTCCAAGAACACCACCACCTGGCATGCTTCCAGGAACAGTCAAACCCTATGGACATCACTCCCAGGAATCCACCCACTTGGAAAGCAAATGCACAGGATCTCATGACCGTACTGACAGCTTGGTAAATCAGCATCCAGATACATAGCTGCAGCTGGGCGTCCAAGCGCTTTCTTAAGACACACCAGGGCCACAGTGGCATGCACACACACACACACACACACACACACCACACCCCTTCATAACACACAGACTTACTAAGCAATGTCATGAGCCTTCAGGGTTTTCAATACTATACTGCAGACAATGGTGGCAGTAGGTCTCCATCCTCAAGAAGCACATGACTTTATTTGATATACAGTGGTCATCAGGAGAAAAACAGTATATAGATGATTAAATGCCACTCATTACAGTGGGACTGATGGCATCTGGATCTCAGGGCATGGACTGATATGCCAAAAGAGGTGGCCTTGCAAAGGTACAGTGCCTTTGGTAGAAATAAAGAAATGCATTCCAAATAGAGGAAGAGTAAGAGCAAGACCAGCAGTGGGGACTTCCCTGCTTGATGCCTGGTGGCCTTCCAACCAGCTTGCCTGTAGAGATTTGCTCAGGTGGAGTGTTTGAGTAAAAAAGTGGTTCTTTTTTGCTCCTGATCCCAGGCATAAAGTAAAGCCACCCTGACAGCAGAGAGAACCACAAGACCAGGCCCAAGCCACACTGCTGGGTGAGGCAGGGTAGGGTGACACTGGAATAACTGCATAGCAGGGTGTGCTATATTGGTAGTAAACCAACCCAATGAGACCCTCTTTTAGAGAAGTAGGGGCCATGGATTGGTCCCCAGCCTATGGCACTACTGGGAGGTAGTGGAATCTTTAGGAGGGGGACTAGTGGGAGGGTCTTCTCATCACTGGGGTATGCCCTTGAAGGGGAGAGCGGGACTCTAGCCCCTGTCTCTCTGTTTCTACACATTCCCTGCCATGACATGCCGCTTTACTGCTTGGCCCAAAGAAATTTGGCCAAGCAACCACGGACTATAACCTCTGAAACAGTGAGCCCAAATAAACCTTTTTTCCTTCTAAATTGGTTATTTCAGGTATGTTGTTACAGTAACAAAAGGCTGACTAACACAGTAGGAATGCTGATGAACACAAAGAATGGGTCACCCCAGGGAAACAGACCTCTTATTCTGAGGTTCTGTGACCGTGATGGAGAACCTGTTAGAGCTTTCAATGATCCAAACAGCCCACTGCAGCATGAGTGCCATACGTTTGCTATCACTGTTCTATGAGATGGGCCAGTGTCCTGGTCTGGAACTTTTGGGATTCAAGTGAAGCCATTTGGCTGGAGAGATGATACCCCACTTCCATGTACCTCAGTTCTTGGCCTCTTTTCATGATGAAAGATCTTTTCTTCCCCAGGATTCCTTAAAGATGGCAAACTGAACCCAGGACTTCAGATAATCCAAGGGAAGGGGAAGGCCTAGGGGGAAGTGTGTAGGAAAGGGGAGAAGAATGACTTCGGTCCAAACCTCTTTTAGCTCCATGAATACCTGCTCCAGACTACTACTGAATTTCGATACACACTGAGCCCTGGCCCTTGGACCAGACCTGAATGGAAAGGATGCCACGACCTTATCTCTAGTCTAGCTATACCCAACGTAGGGTAGATTCTCCTGTTTCTTGTCATGGTTGGCATGAGAAGGCCTTGACTGGCAGTACCAACATAATTTCATACACTTTGTAGGATTTGCTCTGATCTCTCTTTGGGAAATGAAGAAACACAACCCAGAGAGGTTATGAAGGTCTGAAGTCACAGCAGGGTGAGGACTAAAATCAAGTCACTCTGACTTGCTCCTGAGCCCCAGGTTCTTCTCAGATTATATTGCTCCTAAAGGGAAGGGGACTGATCTCTGTTCCTTCTGGGCAGTTGTCTGGCATCTTGCCTGGACACCTGAAATGTAAGTGAGGCTTCCTGACACTTCTCCAGCAAGTGACAAGATAGAGAGCATACAAGCAAGGAAATGCTCCCCAAATCCTAGATATGAAAGAGGGGCATTCAAAAGAAGCAGCACCAACAGCCGAAATCCATCAGACCACCATGAACTGCCACAAATGGTTCTGAGTTTCTGGTAATTCCAGCTCGAAGCAAGTTACATAACAGGACAAGGGAAACTATCAGATTGGAACAGTGATTCTGCACTTGGGTTCTATAGACTGGGTTCAGGGGCTCTGTGTACCTTCTGAAATTCCTCGCAAGACTGGGGGTGGGGTGGGCCACAGTGGTACATACCTAAAATTCCAGCACTGGATAGGCTGAGATAGGAGGATCATGGCAAGTGTGAGGCCAGCCTGAACTATACAGACTCCATCTCAAAAAAAAAAATAATAAAAATAAAGACTGTTATGGTACATTTATCTGGAAGAGGGTGTATAGCTCTTTCAGGGCCTTAGGAAGATCATGGACTCAGAGACATTGAAAACTGCAGGAATTAAGGGCTCCAAGTTCCCTCTAGCCCTGTATATATGGAGCATATACAAATCTGGGTGCTAAAAACACACTATCTAATGTAGGAGAATGTGTTATGTGAAGGGGGTGGTGGTCACTGTCCTGGCCACTGCTACTTCCCGGCCCTGCTGTTCGACATTTACCCTGGGGGTCCCAGACATTCCAGCACTACTGAACACTCTGCACTTTGCACAACCCTCATCTTTGTCAAGCCCTGGTGCTTTCATATCTCTCGCTGACTACTAATTTTCTTTCTGAACATCATTACCTCCAGACTAGAAGAGGAAAGTGGAAAAGAAAATCTGATTTACAAGAAAGAGCACAAATTCAGCTGGACATTCCCCAAGTTGGTCTCAGGGCCCTAGGAAATGCTCCTCTGTTTGTCATGGACATTTGGACACACCTGCGCTCTCCCCCCATACTGCCCAGGGCTGGTGATCCCTGCACTCCAGGAAATGTGGGGCACCCTCACCTTCAGACAGAGGTTAAGGGAGCCCCAGTAAAGGGGAAGTCTGGTTAACCCCTTCCTCTCTCATCAGGCCTCCCAGTCCTGTGGCTGAGGAAGATTCCAGCTGACCCAGCTGCAGAGGAAATGCTCCTTCTGGTCTCTCAGTTTTCCTATGGTGTGGAATCATACTAGGAAGTCTGAAATATCATGGCCTCTGGGTCCTACCTCCTCCTGTGGGTCTCTAACTGGCACTCAAGAATTCTGGCTTCATCTTGCTCTTTTATCCTCTAAGAAAGGCTTGTCAGCTCTTTCTTTGTCTGTATCCCCCAAGCACCCAGGGACAAGCATGACTGGTAAAACCTTACTATCTAGGATTTGATGTTCTGGAAAATCCATTACTCTGCTTGAAAGTGAAAGAGTTACCATAGAGGTGGTACATCAGTTTCCAGTTTTCAAAAGACAAAGAGAAATATACACAGGCTAAAGTTATGAGGTTTGGAATGCCATCTTTCTTTGATGATTCAATTCAGGAAAGGCACCTGGGGATCCAGTAGCCTCTCGGGGATCATTCTGGATATTGTCTGAAAAAGCACAGGCAAGTGTGGAACTCCCATACCTTCCTGAATTCCCGAGTCTTTGCTTTCCTCCTGAGTACTATGTGGCTTGGAAACACATACTCCAGAATAACACTGCACCAGATAGAAAGGTGGGGGGCAGTGCTATAGCATCCAGGAGAGATGTGGATATAATTAGATTTTGGAAGCTCCTCCTAGGAAGGCTCTCCTTCCTCCGGCCTCTTTCATCAGCAATGGGAAAACCTCACAAGGTCACCTGAGGTTGCCCCTCACCCACCCACCGTAGACCACATCTCCACTGGGGACATCATAGCAGGAATACGGGGCCTGGACATGTCTACTCCACAAAGCCAGGCCAAGAAAACCAGGGGAGCTTTACATCCTCCTGCCTTTCTCCTACTCAAGAAAATCCATGGCAGAGGCCATCCTCTTCCCACAAAACCAAGGGGGGAAAAACCAACAAGCCAAAGAGAGGTAGGTGGGTGAAATGTCAACTGGCCAGATCTACAGTCTGTCCCTAACAAGTGGGACAGGATCTGCTGAGAGCAAAGTGTGGCAGCCTCCTGGAGTTCCTGCTGCCCAGGAAATGAGCTTAACTCTCTTCTCACGCCTTTCATAGGGGCTCACGCCTGAGGGCCCGCCAAAGTTAGGGGACATGAAACTGCTCCCTGAAGCATAACCCAGGGTGCCTCTCGGGTGGGCAAGTGACCTAGGGACTGGCACCTCTCCAACCCTAAGGATCCCCTTGGATCCCCATCCAAGGATGGCCTTGGATCCCCGTCGGGAAGCCGGGTTCAGCAGATAACTGTTCATCTCTTGAGGACCCCTGGTCGAGAGTGACAGCCTTTGAGAACACAGGAAGAAAAGAGCCTCGGCCCAGACCAGGCGCGCATCCCTGCTTCCCTCCCGGCGACCACCCAGGAGACGTGCGGAGCAGAAAAGCAGGGACTTTAGTCCAACAGGTCCCTCTCTACGGGCCTCACCCGGCCAGCCTTCCTCCGCCCTGCCCGGAGGCCCCAAATTCAGCGGGAGTGCCGAGGCACCTGCTGCCACACAGAGCTCCATCCCGGCGGAAGGGGGCCTGGGCGGTGCCCCTCGCCTCTCCCGCTCTCCCGGGAAGGGGCGGGGCGCTCCAGAAGGCTCCCCTCACTCACCTGGCGCAGGTGCTGCAGCAGCGTCCCCGC